TACCGCTATTGTAAATCATTTATGCAAATTGCCCTCGCGGCGGCTACACCATCTATATGTCCATGAAAATGTATAGCTCAAGATTGCCAACAGAAAAAAAGAAGAATGAAGAGGGACGTTTCGGAGTAAAAGAGAAAATAGGGCTAAATTAAGTATGCAATATTCGCTGCTATCGCTGCGTCTAGTCGACCAAGCAAAGTTTAAAAGTTATGAGCGAAGGATCTATATGATAGTGTTAGGAGTGAAAACTCGCGTTCATCCGTAATAAATGTCTTTTCTACATCGAAATCACTTTCGCTTTATTGCTCTTTTAGTATTTTATGCTAAAATAAAGTTACGTAATTTCAAGATTGTACGTATGCTCCAGTTATCGACCTATGTGTCGCTCCTCACACGCTGCTATTATTTAGTTAGTAGATATTTTGTATTAGTAATGTTTGTTATTTGCCGTTAATTATAATTTATTTCCGTACCAATACTCGTGCACTGGGAACCTTAGAGTATCCCATTCAAATAAATTTCTGACGAGACATGAATTTCGTTTTGAAATCCATTCAAACTCATTCAAAAGCAATGGGATTTAGCTTATAACTCGGAACAATAAGTTAACAAGGATTTGTCTTGAATTCACATCGACAGTTCGTAAAGCGTTAAGAAGCATAAATTGTAACGTAGTTTTAAAATATGTAATATAGAGAAAAAGAATTTCCAATTAATGATCTCATTAGATACTGCAGAGTTCCTGCAAAAAACTTGATAAAACTTGTTTGTCTCACTTTTCACATCTCATATGATACACGAGTCACAGTAAACAGAAAAAAAATGAAATAGTCAAAGTCCTGAAACAATCTCTCAAACGGCAGACGCGTCAGGCTCAAAGCGAAATACCAGTCAAATTCTCTTTCACTCGTATACGTTTCACATCGCCCCTTGAACATTTCGTGCACTCGACTCTGCAACAGCGCGTCCAAAGTAATTCTTGCCAGTCGATGGGCGAGAAATGAAGACCCGTACGTGACTTCACGTTCGCGGTAGTCACTGGTCCGCGCCAATTTTCTCACTCGCAGCTGTCATCGATCAGCCGGGAAATCGCTCAACGATCAAGCACACTTGGCCGTTACGCTTTTGCACTTTAAATTTTCCCGAAGGGATAAGAATTCGAGACTTGTGAATTCTCGGCGAGGGCTGGACACGCAAGAGTACGTCGCGGAACCTTTTTGGAAGTAGGTCAGAATTTGGGCGAATCGATGCAAACCTTTCTACTCACTAGAACTCTCGAATGAAGCTTGTATTTATTGAAGCGAGCTTACACAAATAACATTTTACTTATGTATTTTCCATACATTTCGTGCATTTTTAATGAAATGAGCAAGAGCAAAACAACATCTGTAACGGAGCGTATAATTATATACGCATATAATGAAGCCGCTTGTTTCGCCCGACAACGTATCGAAATCTGATTGACGCTTCCACATGACGCGCACTCGTTCATCAGCGAAATTTACAAAAGCGTGTATGCACAGCATTGTAAAAACAAACATCTATTATCGATAAAACGAGCTCGTGCGAGGATCGCCGTCAACGCTCGCACATGGCAAATGATAATTAGCTCCGTCGAGCTGCTTACCCGACCAGCTCCATCTTGTGCGGTCGACATATACGCAAGCTCATTGAGTTTCAATCGGAACTACCATGGACTGCTGATCGATTTTCCTTCAAGAATGCAGCAGGAACCTGCTTCCTCACTCCTTCACTCTCGATTGACTTCTATTTTTTGATAGCGGTCCACGTCGAGTCTATTGAATGAGATACGTGTCTCAGCTGAGACCAACTTCTCGAGTGAGCGTTCTGTTTGGCTCAACGTTGCGATTAAATAGCTGATCAAGCTACAAGTGGATCTCGCTAATGCAACGTCGATTTTCATGCAATATAATTGCGTTTGAATAATGTCGAACAAGTAATTAGCAGAGCAATTCTCTTTGCTGAGAAATTGATCGAGCGCGATCGCAAAAGAAAAGTGGAAAGTTTATGCTTGGCTGCAAGATTAACTGAAAAACCGTGTGGCAAAAGGAGCTCGACAAGCGAACGCGCAGCTTAATCGGAAGCCATTAACCGCAGCGTCCAGCAGTAGCAACCGCAAGAAACTCCCTCTTCTCTCTCCCTCGCTCTCGAGTGGGAAGCGGAATTGTCTTTTGTTGTCGGGAGATAAAGACCACCGTCGAAAATGAATAAACGACCGCCATCTCAACCTTCCGATCTTGCCATACTGTCAGGTTATGTGTATTATAAAGTAAGATAAAAAATTTCGAGGCGTGCTCTGTGCTTTCCTAACGCTTGTCGCACGATTTACTCGCTCGCGATGGAGGTGTACTTCACGCATCACTTCACTTATAATTCATATGATTCATATATGTGCTTGCTTTTCAATTCGCTTCATTTCAATTTTATTTTCACGCTCGCGTGCGTAGATTTCAGTGATCGGTGATAACATCAAGAGCGCAAACAGATTTTCAAATGGGCACGAGTACGATCAAAAATCTGCAGCTAGTATATGGCATCGAAATCTGTCAACACGTTTGACCGATCAAAGATCGTGGAAAAGTATTTTTCGCTCAGATGGACTGACGCCGCTTGACAAAAGCACTCGCGGCCCATTCACGCGCGCGAAAACGCATGTCAAACGCAAGGCAAACATCAGATTAATAGCAGGTGATACGCAAGTGAGCATTTCGAAGATGCACTCAAAAGTAACCAAACAAACTTTGGCGTACTGTACGCAATCAATTTCATTTCTAATTCAATGAAACTGCGCGCGCGGGAGAGTTGTAGTAAATGCGAGCGAGCGCACGCGAACAATTAGAACTAGTTAGTGTCAGATGATCCAATCTATTTGAGCCAGGCTAGCTGTCAGTGCTTGAGGCAGTGAGAGAAAGAAGAACCTCTCTGCCGCGGACTAAAGTAGGTTAATCACGAGGTGCGATTATTCGCAGCAAGCGCAGAGTTAAATTATTTAAGCGACGCTCGCGACTAAGCGAGAGGGCCAAAACAAATCCGACGCGCAACGAGTATAAGTGGAAATTTTAATTAGTTGCTCAAGCCATTTGCCGCTCTGCCGCGTTTTCCTCTTCACACGCAGTTTTCACGAGTGCAAGCTCCTTTATATCTTGCGCTTTGTATCACTCATTGAGCTTCTCTCTCTCTCTCTTTCTGTCATTAAGCCGACAAAATAATTTCCCAATAAGCTAGATAATGTTTCCTTTCTTTTAGTCAGATGTATTTCTTTTTCATTTCAAAGGGCTTTACGTTATTGGAAATGAAAATAGGATTTGGAAAAAAATACGGCTGGATGCACTTTGTGAAAAGAGAACGTTGTTCGCATCTTTTAATTAAGAGAAACGGATTCATTGTTATTTTAAGCTCGTCGAATAAATGATGTCCTTGTTATAAACTCGTAAGCTCATTTAACTCTGCACCCAAAGTAAATTTTGCACGTACCCATATGACTAGGTCAAAACGATTCCATGGATCTTGAATATCCAAACTTAATAGGCAGTAACAAGAACGGAAGAAAAAGATAATACTTTATAGTACGCGCGCTTATGGTTAAGTGCAAATAGAGCTTTCATTTTTCGGCGGCTGGGCGCAATGTTTGGAGTAGCAAGGGAGACTTAGTTTGCCGTGAAAATAGCTTACTTTAGGTGAATTTCAAGTGCCTGCTTAAACTTCCGGCACGTATATAAAGGTTAAGTCGTTGGAAAAACACTTTTCATCATAACACACGCGTGTAGATCGCAACGCCATTAAAATTCTTCTCCGTGCTGTTTCAATGGAGCGTAGGCATACGCAAAAGCATGCAGTGCGTCGGGAAAAAAGCAAGAGGAGGCAGAAGTGGAAGCAAGTTTGAAATATAACAACGCTGTAAAAAGCAGGGAGAGCCGCTCGAGAAGGATCCCACTCTCTCTACATACATATATACGTATATATATATATGTATATATGTATGTATATGTATGTGTATGTATATATATACGCGTGTGGTTATATTTTGCGAGCAGATTGTGCTTTATGCGCTAGAAAATTTTTACGACTTTCGACAATATGACCTGCAAACGCCTATTTCCATGCACTAAACTACTCCCGAGACCGAGAAGGTGAAGTTGTTCTAAGGTTGAAACTTCGTAATTAAAGTGCTGCGATGTCTTCGTTTAGACTTTGCGCGCGAGTGCGTGTTGCTCACAACAGATGTGAGTTTAACGTTTCACACATATGTCGGAGAAAGAAAAGCTTTTCCACGTTTATACTTTGCGGCTTGTTTCAATGTATGATGCGTCTGTACGCGTATTCGACATCTCTTAAGAGTTATCATTAAAAACCAAGCTTTCGTCTCTCGCGTGTGCTTTGATCTTACAAGTATGTCTCCCTCTTTCCTATTGTCGAGGCAATCTAAATAATGCAAACGTAGGAGAGAGCATGCAAATACGCATATTTGCAACCCAGCTAAATTTTGCACACTGCATTCTCGCGTACGCATTTCAGTTCTCTTTCGGTGCTACTGCACTTCCTAAAAGGTTTTCGCTCTTTACGCGACGACTGTTTACACAAACGCCACCGAGGCACTAATCTTACGCTGTGTCAAGTTAGATTTCGTCTGTTAAAAGTCAAGCAGATCCAACATCAAATCATAACTCATTGGAATTGGCATCCCTCGTGACAAGCAGCGCGGTAAAATGGTGAGTAATGATCACGTGTTCCCGAGGATCAAACAAAACAAAAAAGCTCTGTCGCAACTCACGCACAAAAATATCACTCGTAAAAAAGCGTAGAGGAAGAAGAAAAAAAAACAAACAAATCGCGCTCCCACGACCGACTGCATTTATTCATCTATCAAAGCATGAGCGAGCGTCACAGTTGGTACTCCATCAACACGGCAGCGGCAGCATCTGTTGGCGCGTAAATCATGGCTTCGGGGTTTGGTGTTTTTTCTTTCAAAATCTACTCACGCCTGCCCTCGCCGATCTCCTTGGCTCTTAATGCGATGACAGCAGTGATCGTGTAACAGCACAAAAAATACCAGCATCCGCTGATAATGGCAGTCGGCATGACTGTCGAATATCGCTCACTCGTATTTTAGCACGTTTGCTTTCGTTCCTTTGTTTGTTTGCGTTTATGCGTCGAGGTGTTGCTAGAGCCGCGGCGGCATTGCGCGCGACTTGCCGGTATGGCGCGCGCGAGCCGACTGAAACACAGTTTCGCGCGCACTGCGGCTGCTGCTGCTGCTCCTGGATCTACACACGCTTTCTCTCTCTTTCTCTCTCTCTCTCTCTCTCTCTCGCTCGCTCCGCCAGCTGCGGCTGCGCTGTCGCCTGCATATAGTACTATCCTGAAGATGTTTATACCGTATCTATCCCCGCACTGCATGGTTGCTGTTGCTTCAAAGGGAAGAGTACGTTTTTGACGCGCGAGTGAGCGATTCGTCGTGTCTGATCGTACGTTGATTCATACTACTGTGCTCTCCATATGCAAGGCTTGCGAGATGTAGTGCGCAACATGTTTGGCTGCTCGACTGCTCAGCTAATTAGACGATGCAGCTTAGCAGTGCATCGAATCTAGTTAATTGATGTTCGATTAACGTTTGTTCTCTCTCACAGGATTCTGCGTAGATATACATATACAAGTGAGGCGAGACAAGTTAGTCTCGTGTGTGGTTGCGACGCTTCAATGCTTCATTGTACATATATCTGGATGGTACTTTGATGAAGAATTTTTATTAAGATCAGACATTCACAAGTGAAACATAGTATGACGAAAGCAATGCAGCTTTTTTATTAAAAGCTTAATTTAAGCCGTTTGCTTTTATGAGAATATGGCTTATTATTACCGAAATAACGAAGGATTAAGTGTGTATTATTTTGGTGTTGTATATATTGTTATATATATCGGCGCCGAGTTTGCACAATTAGACTAAATTGGAGTACTTTGCGAAATCGCGCATGAATGATTTACTCTTTTAGCGAATGAATTTCCATGATTACGTCTGTGCTTCCGCGAATAATTTTTTCGGGAACTTGTATTGGATAATTCGATTAAACCTCACGAGTAATAATGCGTATATATCTACGTATACTCATCCTTACAATATAAAGTAGAGTTAAACTCCATCCGGCCAAAAAGCGGCAAAATCCAACCAAACATGCAATATGGACAAACATATACAGCCCGCGAATGCCATTGGCTCGAGGAAATAAATCCCGTCACCCCATGCAAATAAATTAACAACAAGTCAACATAAATTCACCGCATAATTACCGTTGAAAACAAAATCGAATAGAGAGCGCTTTACTTCGTGGAAAAAATCACGCAGCTCGAGCGCATAGTAGCAGTTGTAGCAATAATTAATTTTTTTCATTCGGGAAAAGTTTGTCCAAGGGAAAGAAATGAGAGAGAGAGAGAGAGAGAGAGAGAGAGAGAGAGAGAGAGAGAGAGAGAGAGAGAGAGAGAGAGAGGAAGGCCAGCTAATTCGCGCAAGAACGCGCATAAATCTTGGACGAAAATTTTCTGCACCGAGGCCGGAAGCCTGGCGGTGTGCATCATCTCGCACACACAGACGTATATATGCCTCTCACGGAAGTGACGGAAAAAGCTGGCCGCATAAATGACCGTCTCTACCGAAGCTGAACAAACAGACTCGAGCAAAGCAGTTATCTCGACTTTGCCACGCGCTATGATCTCTCTCTCTCTCTCTCTCTCTCTATAAATCTCGTTGGTACCTTTGACGCTTGCACTACTTCTGTTTTTCTCTTCTTCTTCGCGATGTCTTCTTTATTTTGATGTACGACGCAGCAATGGATATACTGCGATCGTTTATCTTACTGCTGCCACTATTACCTAAACCTTTGAATATATATCAAGGCAAAGCCTTTGTACATTTGGAAATGCTTGGTTGACTATGTACGCATAAAGTGATGTCTGACTGCACGCGGTTTCACCTACTTACAATTACAGTAGCGAGGTACCTATATGACTCTGCTCGAGAAATGATGGCCATGGATTTATGCAGTCATGCAGGCAACTTAAAAGTCGCGTAACGCAACCATCCGAAACTCGGACACGCTAGTTTTCGCAAAATGCGACCAACAGCTGTGCGTGCACATAATCGTAGTGAAAGTGGATTTAGTAGGCACACAGCTGCCTCGAGCGCGTGCGAAAAGTTCGGTAGGTGGGCGTGATAAAGGTGATTTAGCTTCTCTCTCTTTTAAGCGTGAGACTGCTGTTTTCCAATTGCAGCAGCAGTGCGCTGCATTTTCGACGAGCATCACTCATGCTGTTTTCGCACTCGCTATCGAAGACCCTTCTCCAATTGCTTGCGAATGATCGAGTCGTTGCTTGTTTTCGTGTGATCGATACGCGTTGGTTTAAGTATGTTTATACCTTGTGAACTAGAGCTCGTCGTCGTCATTAATTCCGTGGTGCTTAGAACGGATGCTCCATCGCGTATTAAACACAAGTAGCGTTCAGTTTTAGCGTTTCGCAACGACGGAACAACGAGGCGATACAGCAGTCGCACTAAAAATAATGAAGTAGCATTCACCATTCTCATTTTCCTAGTAGTAGTTGTAGCGTTAGTAACAGCACTACAAGAGCATTATTACAATCAGCGGTAAGTAGACCAAATCCCACGGCGAAAGTCGCGACCATTCGGAATAATATAAAGTTTAATTGAATGCCACGCATTTCTACTGGTTGGAAGCATTCAAAATATCTCGTACATCGAATTTTCCAGGCGAGCGCAGCGCCAGCGTCAACGGCAGCGGCAGCAGCAGCAGCGTCGGGGAGACAATAAGAGGGCAACGCTACTTGGAAGGATTAAAAGTCGGAGTCGGCGTTGTAAGCGTACGGTGTGCTCTGCTGTTGCTGTGTTTATATCTGGAAAAGTCATGGTCGACGCTACTACCGCTGCTTGGAAGTTTTAAGAGCAATACAGCAAAAGCCTGGAGAAAGAGGGACGGCACGTGCGGTGGCCACAATGTAAGAGGCGACCGCGACTGACTCTCTCCCTCTCTCTCTCTCTCTCTCTCTCTCTCTCCCTCCTCTCTCTCTCTGCGGTATAAACTAAATGAGGAGTCATAATTTTCACCGCTCCTCGCGCCATTACGCTTACTCTTTGTTATCTTGTCCTTGCTTTTTCTTTTTTCTGCCCGTAAAAAAACATTCGAAGATTCTCGTAATAAATTCAGAGAAGCGATCGTTCTAAGGCTATTTTAGAATTTTATTGCGTGAGAATGATTTCCATGCGATTTTCAAGTGTTTGATATGAGTTTTCTTGATTGAAGTATGGTGAATAATATAAATCAAATAGACGTAGAAAAATGCAAAAATTCATTCAAATAAATTTTTTTCTTATTTAATAACAAAATGTCATTCTAACGTTGGTTAAACAGACCAAGAAATCCCGAAAAATTCCATGAATACGCTTTCATAAATTAAACTACGTAATCTTCTCTCTTCTTCTCTCTTCCTCTTACTTCCAGTTAGAGCGGAGTGGGGCAAAAAGTAATAAAGAAATCAGTCTTTTGCCCACGCTTGAATCCCGCTTAGGACGCGTGCATATATCACGAGTCTACTCTGTCTCTCCCTATATCAGCGCGCCCCAACGTTCTATTTACCATCCCACTTCTCCTCTCTCTTCCTACTTTTCACTGCTCTTTAGCTTCTCTCTCTCTCTCTCTCTCCCTCTCTCTCTCACTCTCTCGACGCCATTGATTGCTAAGGGCGAAAAAGGGTAGCTGAGTTGACGTTGACGAGACATTTGTTTTCAACTGAAGGAGCGCAAGCGTATAAGAGTGGAGTGATGCTCGAGTGCTGCGACGAGAGCACCTGTTATGAATGCCACTTGACACGTTACTTTGTATGAAGACTCATTGTAACGCGCAAACCTCTACCTCCGCCCTTCATGTGCATATAGGTGTCGGTTATTAGTTTTTAGCTGGGCGTGTGCGTTTGTGTCGCGTGCGCCGAGGCTTCAAAAGAATCTTTCCCGTGAAATTTAACATTGCACGGAGCATATGCTTTATGGACCTTACGTTCTTCGTGGAAATTTACTGTGCTCTGTGTTAGTTTATAAAAACTTTTTGATTAAAATGTCTTGTGTGCATTTGGATATGTTCAAAAGTGACGTGTAATATTTCGTGCAAGTCTTATAGTGTCGTCTGTTCTACGGACAATAGACTTACTATTATGACTTATTGAAATACGTTATCATTGCTGAGAAATTGATTTTTTGTAGCCGATAGTTCGAGGATCCACAAAACAAGAAGCAACGTACGTGATATTATGTTTTTTTGAGTAAAGATACTAGTCCAAGTTCTTCAAGCGATCCACCTTGAGATTTACGGTAACGGTATCGAATATGGGAGAAGAAGAGTATATTGGAGATAAGGGCGTTTAAGGATCGCTATGTAGAACATGTGGATAGTAAATTTGAATCGGCAAATCCATGCCAAGCGATCGCGCATTTCTATCAAATTTTTATGTTCTCCCTCTCTCATGGTTATTCTCAAATATGCAAAGCTTCTTTATAATATTTTTTGCTCTCTTTCCTTTCGCGATCAGTATTTGGAATTTGTTTGATAGAGGGAATTGCTACGATGTTCGATGAATAAAAACTATATTTTCGATAACTCAGCACGCATCACTGAGCAACAAACAGTAAAAAAAGTGATTACCTTAGCACTTGCGTTTTGGTGTTTGTACATATATATGTAAGGGAATTTCTGGCGTGGAGAGGGAAGGCGAAAAATTCGCTGAAAGGCGAATGCAGAAGTTCTTATTTTTTTATATGCTGCGGGTCCCTCCCACGATGCGGAAAGTTCGACCCGCATAAATCGTCAAAGAAAATGTCTTAATTCCAGATGGGCTATATAGCTTCAACTTGCCCTGCAAGTTTTTCCTTTCGTTTCGTAACTGATGATTGCCGTTGAAAGATATTTGGGTTAAAAGAAATTTCGTGTGCCATCAACCTATTTGCGCAACTAAATTATATGCATACAGGATGACGAACGTTAGCGAGCAAAAGTTGTAGTTTGTTGCTCTAATTTTAGATTCCCTGTAAACGCGCGCGTGGTTGTATGTATGTGTTACTTTGTGACACTAAAACTCGGCAATCCTCCCGCGTTAAATCTACATGTGACCTCTCCCTCTCTCTCTCTCTCCTCTCTCTCTCTCTCTCTCTCTC